AGTCTGTCAGATCAGGCTTGTATTATGGTAGATCATGCTGCAGGCATGTTAGAGGAAGGTACAGAAGCACACCGGGGCTTCCTGGCCATGGGGCGTTGGGGAGCAAGTAGACTCCTTGTTCCCCAAAGGGGGATGTTTGTAGGAGTGAGAAGGAACTTTACAGAGCTTCTCCCTCCTCCCCTTTGCATGCAGTCAGGAGAAGAATGTGCATTTCTGTGACCTCTTCAGGTGTGCAAAGTGTGTTTGTCACAACCACCCCGTGAGGAAGGTAGCAAAAGGAGTGTCTCCTTACTTTACAAGCGAGGACATTGTGGCTGAGAGAGTTGGAGACTTCACGGGGCCATTATGAGAAGGGGCAGAAACAGGCCCAGAGCCTCGGTCTTCTCCACAGATCTGGGGTGCACACCTGCTCCTCTGATGCCGCCATAGAGTGGCGTCAAGTCGTGGCCCGTTCTCCGTCCAAGTGCGCACGTTGACGTGGAGTGACGCCACTGCTCTCTCCTTCGCTGTAGTTTGTCCTGCATCTGTTCTGTCAGGTTCTGCTGGGCCTGGCTTGGCACCCCTCAAACCGACTCATGGTGTTGGTCGTTTGTTTGACTTGTCTAGCAAGAAACTGCTGAGAAAGAGGAAAAAATCCAGTTTGAAAACCAGTATGAAATGGCCAGAAGGGAAGCCATGGAACGGATGACCCGCGCAGAAGAGAAGAGACGGTGGGAGGACAGGCAGCAGGCGGAGGCTCTGCGCCAGCAGATGGAAGAGCTCAGGCTGAAGGAGATGGAGGTAAAGGGGCCCCCCAAGGCAGGGCGGACGGCGGCAGAAGCCTGGGCAGGGCCGGGCCCCACGTGCCCAGGCGACGCGTGGACACTCACCACCCCCGCCCCTGCCCCCACGCCAACTTCTACAGTTTGAGGGGGCCTCGAACCTGGAGTAGTTTTCCCCTAGACCTATGGTTTCCTCCATGCATATATGGACGTGTATACATATACATGCATGTACTTATGATTCATTTCTTTAATTTTCTGCATTTTCATTGCGGGGAGGGGTCTCCCTCTGTTGGCGCAGATCACAAACCCTCCATGTCATAAGCTGATGGTCTTTGACATTTGCTGTAGCTGAAAACTTTCCATTTTTATGACTCTCTGGTAATGCCTCTTTCTGAACTTAGCCAGGCTGGTCCTTGGACTATAGACATACGTTGGCTGCTGTGTCCATATCCAGAGTTTTTTCAGGTTAACTAATCAAACATTCCTGAACTTGTGTTCCACTGGCCTGGCCTTCAAGAGCCACTGGGTCACCTCTGGGCCATGATGAAACCCGCTAGGAGGTTTTTAGTATAGCACGTTGGGAGACCTGGCAGTAGTCTGAATCAAGGTTCTCATGCTGATGAGAACATGAGTAGGAGACCTTGCTTGTGTCCGGTGGGAGGGAGGAGGACGGGGTCCCTTTCCTGCTGATCTGGCACCAGGCCGGTCTTCCCTGCCCCTCAGGGGTGGTCCTGGCGGCCCCGGCCAGGCGTTGCTGCCTTTGGTAATTGTTCAAGGAGGGGGGGTAGAAGTTACTCCACTACATGTTTATTATGGCGACAGGCAACAAAGCTGAAGAAAGAACAAGAGAACTTGCTGAGGCGCCAGCGGGAGCTGGGCTTCCTGGAGGAAGAGAGGAGGGACATGGAGGAGCGCAGGAGGAAAGCGGAGCTGGGGTACGCGCTGGGCGGGGGCGGCGTCCGGGGCCGAGCCAGCGTCTCCCACGAAGCATGGCTTTTCCCCAGAACTCCAGGCAGAACTGATTCTAAAAGGCTCGATGCGCTTCGTGTTTCCTTTCTTGTTCAGACGCTTTTTGAGACACCAGTACAACGCTCAGCTGAACAGACACGCCCAGCAGATCCAAGAGGAGCTGGTAAGAGAGGCCCCGCCAGTCTCTGCGTAGCCGTGGCCTCCCTGCCCCCTTTACCCGAGTGCTCTGGGATTGTCAGGTGACACCTGCTTCCCTGACGGTGGTTCACTGAAGGGAGGGGAGCAGGGCCTCGAAGGCTGAGGTCAAGGTTGTGAAGCGCTCGCCCGTTGGTGCTCCAAAGGGCTCTTCATTCTCGGCATGTTGTGGGAAACCATTGGCTTATTCATGTCCTGAGTCCCTAGCGTGTGGAGCACAGTGCGAGGCACCCCAGGCGATGCGGAGACTGCCCAGACATGGGCATTGTCCCCGGGGAGTCTGCGGCCATGCAGAGCATGGCGGGGAAAGGTCTGAAGCCCATCACGGCCTTCCCCAGGAGGCGGACAGACGGATCCTCTCGGCCCTTCTGGAGAAGGAAGATGAGGACCAGCGGCGGGACTCGGCCCGGCGGGAGCAGGCGGCCGCGGATGCTGCGTGGATGAAACAAGTCATCGAGGACCAGCTGGAGGTGGAGAGGGAGCGAGAAGCGGAGCTGCAGCTGCTGTACAGGTGAGGGCCGTGCTTCTCCCCTTGGGCTCTGTGTTTGGCAGTGTGGCGTCATTTGCCAAGGCTTTCACCTTTGGGACGTCTCTCCTCTGCCCCTGCCCCTGCCCAGTGCAGGCCCTCCTCACCCTCCCCCCAGACAACTGCCATAGCTGCTGAGGGCTCTCCCTGCTCCAGGCCATCCTCTGCCCAGCCTCCAAAGTGACTCTCCTAAAGCCCAGCTCTGATCAGGTCCTGCTCAGCAAACCCAGTAGCTCCCTGTGGCTCTGTTTGGGCCCTCAGAGCCCTCCCTACCCTGGCCCCTCCTGCCTTTCCAGTCTTCTTACTTCCCTCCGAGCACGCTTCAGTGCTAGGACCTTGGCCTCCTGACCCATCTTGCCACAAGACCCCCCTCTCTCAGCTCTGAGCATTTTCTCTGGCTGTCCCCTAAGCCCGGAACATTCTCCCGGCCTCCGGGCGTTGCCAGCGTCCTTTAAGTCCTCCCTCCTGATCCCCTATAATGCTCATGCCTTCCCTCTGTGAATTATCTCCAGTTTATTTGGTGTTTAGCTCCTTCGTGTGTGTTTGTGTGCGTGTGTTGTCTCGCCTCATTAGACTGGGAGCTCCTTGAGGGCAGGGGCTGTCTGATTGCCTTTCTTCGTGTCCCCAGCACTTAGCACAATGCCTTGCACACAGTTGACACTTAATAAGTGCTTGTTTATTTTTAGATTATTTAAAGGGAAAGGCAGCCCAGTGTGCTGGAAAGAGCAGTAGACTAAGATGCAGAAGACCCGGCTCTGCCATTTTTCAAGCCATGTGACTTTAGATAAGTCACTTAACCTCCTGAACCTCAGTTTCCTCATCTGTTAAATCAGAGTAGTAACACTTTGTAGTGCCTGCTTTATAGGGTTGGTTTGAGGAAAGAGCTCTGTGCATTGGGAAGCCTATAGGAAAGTAAACTCTCATCAAGGGAATCCTGCGTTATCGTGGTGGTCACAAAGGCTTCTTGGTTTCGCACATGTGGAGCTTGCACCCAAGACCTGAATTGAAGACTCCCTCTGAAGAAGCTGGGTATTTTCAGTTTTGTCCTTTGGATATTTGATTTAGAACACTGGGAGATTAAAGTCGACTTTGTGGGCTCAGAAGTAAAGCAAATGCCAAGAACTATGCTCTTTGAACTCATTTGTTCTCTGATCGATTGGGATTGGGGATGCTAACGCTCGTCTTCTCCTCCAGGGAAGAGGCCAAGCAGATGTGGGAGAAGAGAGAGGCCGAGTGGGAGAGAGAGAGGCAGGCTCGAGACCGACTGATGAAAGAGGTAGAGGGGGCGCCCTTTGGCTGGGACGGGACCCACCCAGCTCGTCAGAGGCCTTTCTGGCTGCCGTTTTCTCCAACGAGTTGTCCATTGGATGCGAGGCTGCAGCTTGTTCCTTCCTCGTTCCCTCTTTCTGTCCAAGAACAGGTTCTCACAGAGAGACAGCATCAGCTCCAAGAAAAGATTGAACGAAATCGGCATGCGCAGAAGGAAGCCTTGAAGTACCGCGAGCAGCTGATTCGAGGCCTGGAGGAGGCGAGGGAAGAGACCCGGAGAGGAAGAGCGGAAGAGGTGGAGGTGAAGACAATTTGGAGACGGGACCTGGAGGCTCAGGTGAGTGTGGCCCTGAGCCCGGCTTTCTGCCCCAGCTGCCGGGCTGAGTGCGGGCCCAGGGGTCTGACCGTCATGATCTGCCGCTCAGATCGCAGAGCGCCATCTCCAAGACCAGGAAGAACTCGAGCAACAGAGAAAGGAGGAGGAGGAGGCGAGGCTGGAGGACCAGTTACTGGAGGAACTCGTTGATCAGGAGGCGCGCCTGATGAGCGAGCGCGGCTTTCAGTCCAAGGTACCGCTCTGCCCGGGGCAGCCCGTGTTTTTAGTGTCTGCTGCAGGCACAGTATCGCCTATGGAATGTTCCTCATCCTCAGTGCCACTTATTCCTCAAGTCGAGGCTGATTTGTTTCGTTGCAGCTTCTATCCCCTGTGCCCAGTTTTCTCCTTGGGGGTCAAGCAAACCCGGACTAACCTCTTTCATGTGAAAGCCCCTCACATACTCCAAGTTAGTTATCATGACAGCCCTGCTTCTGCCCCGGCCTTCCCTCTGTCTGTTGCTGTCTTCCTGGTTCCTTCGTATAAGCTGCTTCACCATCCCAGTTGTGTCTTCTGGATTTTTATTTCTGGATTTCTGGATGGTTTACCTCAGATTTAAGGAGGGTTGTTCTCTAATGCCCATGGTGGGCATGCTCAGTGGTGTTTCTGCTCTCCCTTTTCTAGCCATACGGTCGTCCCAGAATTGCCTGGAACTGAACCTGAACGCCCAGCAAGCGCTAGGACCGAGGGTGCTGAGGCGTAGGTTGTCGTGCTAATAAACCTGATCACGTGTTCCGGGGATTAAAAATCAACGTTATGTTATGCTCACCATTTGGAAAGGGTCACGTGTGAATTAAATGGTAGAGGAAGGGGCCAGACTGAGAGGGGCTGGGAACATGTGCATGTAGGCTAAGGTTGTAAAAGTGTAATGAAATGTAGGTAAACATTTAGAATGTTTTCAGATAACTTTCTATGGAAACTAACTTTATTTATAAATAGCAAAAAGTTCTAAAGTTCCTAATTATTAAATGTTGGGAGTTTGACTTTTCAGGAAGAATTTCCTTGTAAACTCTTAAGACATAACACACAAGACAGGATGTGTCTTTCTTGTTGTCTCATGCTCAATTTCAAATCCCCCAAGGTTACTAGTAAATGTAATGTTTAGTGATATGGCCAGCTAATTGTTTAAATATAATTAAGGCACTTATTTATTGGAGATATTTTTTAATAAATTTTTTTTAAATGAGCATGTCTAGTATTTCATCTCCTGTATTCTGTCTGTTGCTTAGTAAATAGGCTAAGAGTCTTTGTATGATTTACTACAATTCAATTTAAGATCGCTTCTACGTCACTGAAGGCCTGACTGCATCTGCTCTTCAAGTGGGCAGAGCTTCTACTGGGAAAGATGCATGCAGTTGTATCAAGGGGGGAGGGGAAGTGAAACAAGGAGAACCTTGAAACATTGAGACATTTGACCCAGAGAAGCTGTGGAACAAGGCTGAACCAGCCAACACACAGCGCATGCCGAGATCCTAAGACAAAGAAAAGAAACTCTTGTTCCAGAGGCCAGCCCTCCCCCTTAAGATATTTGGATCCCATCTTTGTGGCCTGTGTAGGTGTGGAATGATGTCCCTCACCCTAAAAAGAAGATGATGGCCCAGAGACTTTTCACCTAGGTGTGAGTCCACTGAAGGAAATGGTAGAGGATGGCTTAACGTAGGTGTCCAAGAATGGGATTTGTGTGTCTGGATCGCCAGTTAAATGATAGGAATGGCTTAGAGGGATAACCAGGGCATGTAGGTCTAGGCACCACATTTGAGGAAGGACATTGATAAACTGGGGAGCATCCAGAGGATGTTGCATGAGGCTCGGTTCAGTCAGCTAGAGTTTGTTATACCCCCACTGTGTGCCAAACAGTGTTCTAGGTGCGAGGGGTAAGAGACGAAACAGAAACGGTGACTGCCCTCAAGAAGCTTACCTTCTCTTGGAGAAGATAACATATACATAAATGACGATATGCAGGATATAGACCAAAAACTAATTTTAAGAGGGAGGGCACCAAGAACTGTGGGGATGAGGAAGAGAAAGCTTCATGTTAAAAGTCTATTTTTTCCCAAATACACGTAGAATTTTTTAACATTTATTTTTTAAATTTTTGAGTTCCAAATCTCTCCCCCTCCACCATTGAGAAGGCATGCAATTTAATATAGGTTTACATATGCAGTCGTGCAAAACATTTCCATATTGGTGGTGGGTGTCCTTCCTTCTCGAAGACCAAAATGGCATCACGAGGTGGAAGCCAAGGCTCAGTGTGTGCAGCTGTGGCTGATCAGACCGGTATGAGCTCTGAAGGCTCTACCACAGATTGGGCACAAATAACCCACAGGAACATTTGGAGTGGAGATGTCTCTAAATTTGTGCGTTTCACCTTTCTTTTGAACCGCTTCAATTCTGCTTTGCTCATGAGAACAGCACCTTCTTTGATGAGGGCACGCCATGCTGGGCAGTCCTGTGCCAATGTCTGCCATGTTTCACAATTTCAAAATTCTTGAGAGTGTCCTTGTATCACTTCTAAGACAATTCAAATGAAAGCAGTTTGGTTTCCTGGCGTGGCACTGGTAGACTGCCCATGCTTCACAGGCATATGACAATGAGGTCAGCACAAGGGCTCTGCAGACCTTCAGTGTGATAGGCATTCTCCCCCACTCTTCTCTCCCATGCTTTCCTTCAGAGCCTCCCAAACACTGAGCTAGCTCTGGCAATGCATGCGTCAACCTTATCATCTATGTGGACATCCCTGGAAAGTCTACTGCCAAGGTAAGTATACACAGTATTCAAAACTCCATTTTTTGTAACCAATGTTTCCACGTCTGGAGGGTGTGAGGCTGGCTGGTGGAGAACTTCTCTTTTCTTGGTGTTAATTGTTAGGCTAAAATTAGCACAAGTGGCAGAGAACCAGTCCGTACTTTGTGGCATCTCAGCCTCACAGGCTGCACTGAGTGCATAATCCTCTGCGAACAAAAAGTCACGCACCAACTCTCACTCCACTTTAGTCTTAGCTCATAGCCTTTTCAAAGTTAAATAATTTCCCCTCAGTTGGGTAGCTGACCTTAATGCCATTTTAGTCCTCGTAGAAGGTGTCTGACAACATTGTTGAAAACATCATGCTAAAAAGCATGGGAGCGAGCACACATCCCTGCTTCACTCCACTAGTGACTGGGAAAGCTCGAGAGCAGTGTCCTTTAGCCAGAACCCATGCAAGCTTGCCATCATGCTTTTCTGTGCAACCAAATTTTGACATAATTTTCCACAAGCCCTCACGACCGGCAGTATCAGAGGCCTTGGTCAGATAAGCGAACGCTGTGTACAGACCTCTGTTCTGCTCCTGGCATTTCCCTCCCTCCCCTCTCCCCTCATTGAGAAGGCAAGCAATTTGATATGTGCAGTCATGCAAAACATTTCCATATTAATCATGTTATAAAAGAAAACAGACAAGAAAGTAAAAAAAAATTAATAAAGTAAAAAAATCATACTTCAACTGCATTCAGACTTCATCACTTCTTTCTCTGGAGGTGGAGAGCATTTTTCATCATGGGTCCTTCGGAATTGTCTTGGATCATTGCGTTGCTGAGAATGGCTAAGTCATTCATTCCTAGGTGATGATCGTACCATGTTGCTGTTACTGTGTATAGTGCCGTCCTGGTTCTGAGTTGAGCTGAGCCGTAAAGGAGGCAGAGACGAGAAAGGAAGGCATCTCAGGCACGGTACAGCCTGTGCAACGGGAGGTGATCGGCGTGCCATGTGAGGCCAGTTTGACTGGGCCGTAGAATTCAGGAAAGGGAGTTACCCACAATAAGTCTGAAAAGGTAGGTTGGGTCACGTTGTGAAGGGTTTCAAACACCAGAGGAGTTTCTATTTTATCCCAAAGGTAAGAGGGAGCCCTGAAGTTTCTTGAGCAGATAATTAACATGGTCAGACCTATGCTTTTGGAAAATCACTTTGGCAGCTGCACAGAGGATAGATTAGTGAGGGAGAAGATGAAGCAAGGAGATGAATGAGAAGGCTAGAGGTGAACTCGGGTACTGATCATGGCACTGAACCTCGTAAATATGTTGGATTTGAGATGACTGGTACGTTCAGTTTGAAATGTCTAATAAACAGCAATCTGTGAGTCATCTGCATTTTTGTCATTCAGTGCTTTCGTACCCAACTCTTCGTGACCCCATTTGGGATTTTCTTGTCAGAGATACTGGAGGGGTTTGCCAGTTCCTTCTCCAGCTCATTTTACAGATGAGGAAACTGAAGCAAACAGGGTTGAGTGACTTGTCCAGGGTCACGCAGCTAGTAAGTGTCTGAGGCAAGATTTGAACCCAGGAAGATGAGTCTTCCTGACTCCAGGCCAAGGGCTCTATGCAATTTGGCTCCCTTGAGCCATCTGCATAGATGCCAGTGAGACTGATGAGATTCCCTAGAATAGGAAATATAGAATATAGGTTAGGGAGAAGAAAGTAGACGGCCCAAGACAGAGAATACCCAGAGTTGGGCCAGGGGTGGGTGGGGCATCAAGATCTCAATGATGAGTTAGAAAAGGAACAGTGAAACAGGTGGGAGGAGGAACCAGGGAGGAGAGAATCCAGGAGCGGGGGTCACCACCATCAAAGGGGATTGAGGAAGCACTGTGGAATTTGGAGATGAGGAGCCCCTCAGGAACATGGGAGGGAGCATTGTGTGATGAGGTGTGAGCCGGAGTGAGAAGGGTTGGAAAATGGGGGAGAGGAGATGGAGGCAATTGGACACGGGCCGCTGTGGGCCTCTCTGCTTTGACCTGATGGCTGCAGCCTTGAGAGCCAGACCTTTTAATGCAAACCAAATATTTCGTCTGTAAAGCAGGGCATGCTTGCTCTCTCTTCCTTTCATCTCTAAATGTGATCAATAAATAAACATATGAGAAATAGCTTAGGTTTAGGTGGATCACATATTTTAAATCACATATTACACAAGCTTGGAACCAAAAAAAGAGGCTCCCATTTCCCTAGTCCAGAGGGAGGCCGGAAGTCTAAAGTGAGTAAACAGCTCAAGCTGTCTGCAAAAGGAGGAGGAGATGGGGAGGGTGTGTCCTCCTCTCTTCTCCATCAATGAACAGTGAGATTTCACACAGGACATAGTCCAGACTTAGATCATCCCCACCACCCCGGCTCAGGACTCATGCTGCTAGCTCTGGCTAAACCCCCACTGTCCCACACCCTCATCGAGAAGGCAGGCAATTTGATATAGGTCATACATGGGCAGTCACGGAAAACATTTCCATATTAATTATGTTATAAAAGAAAACTGACCAAGAAAATGAAAAAAATTAATAAAGTAAAAAAAAATCATGCTTCTACCGCATTCAGACTTCATCACTTCTTTCTCTGGAAGCAGACAACTGCTCACTCACATCTGATCCATTGAGAGGGGCAGCCAGGTGGTGCAGTGGATAGAGCTCTGGCCTTGGAGTCAGGAGGACCTGACTGAGTTCACATCTGACCTCAGACACTTAACACTAGCTGTGTGACCCTGGGCAAGTCACTTGACCCTGATTGCCTCACAAAACCAAAAACAAAACAAAGACATCTGATCCACTGACTATGCTCCCAAAGTGATTCTTAAAAAAATTTTTAGTAGCATATGGGCAATATGCCCATTTAGGGCATATTGAGGTTTGGAGATTTCTGGTTTTGAGGAGGTGGCCTTTAAAGTCCCTGTTAGTGCTGAGATTTTGTGATTTATACTTCTGTAAAGTGTCGGAGCTACGGTTCTAGCCTCTGCTCTGTGTGACCAGTACTTCTTAGGTTCTCCTCAATTCAATAAACATTTACCTAGTTTTTAATTTTAATTTTATTTTATTTTGGCTTTTTGGTGAGGCAATCGGGATTAAGTCCAGGGTCACACAGCTAGTAAGTGTCAAGCATCTGAGGCCGGATTTGAACTCAGGTCCTCCTGACTTCCAAGGTCGAAGCTCTATCCACTGTAGCACCAAGCTGCCCCAAAGTGATTTTTCAAAAGTGTAGATCTGACTGTCATCTCCCCCTCCCCCATAATGGATGGCACTGGCTCCTGCATATCTCCAGGATCAGAGATAAACATCCTTGTTTGACATTTAAAGCCCTTCCTACCTTTCCAGTCTTCCTACACCTGACTCCCCCTACTCCCTCTCCACTAACTAACCCCTATGCAGAAAACGCTCCACCTTGTAATTTCCCTGGCT